CAAAATCTAAACATAAGACAGCCAAAAACATTTTTGAAAAGAAAAATTCTTAATTGATCTTCCTAAATCTTTAAGAGATAACAGTAAAGAAAAAAAATTAGAAGTCAATCCATCAATGGAGAAATTTCATATGAAGAAATTTCATATGATAACTTGGGTCATGGACAATTTGATTTCTATTGTCCAGAAAGTAACTAACGATAAAAAATTTTCAAGATGATAAAATTTAACGTTAGTTAGCCAAAACAAAAACTCAAATTAGAAGAGATCTAAGATCTTTACGTGAGCAAGTTGGTTTACTAGCTTGTCTAACTAAAAAGAAGAAATATAATTTCAAAAAGGATAATGATTCTAAACAAAATAATTATAAGAAAAACTTTCTTACCATAATGATAAGAATAAAAATCAAAGAAGAAAATTATTCCCAAAAATTCCAAAAGTAGTATTGTATGTTACAATTATGGTAAACCTGGCCACATGAGCCAATACTGTTAATAAAAAAATTAGAACTCTAGATCCTTTTATAGAAGATCAAATAAACAATCTTTTAGTATAATCTTCTAAAGAAGATTCCACAAAAGAATCTTTAGAAAACTTAAACCAAATCAACAAGATAGTGAAGAATCATTCTTTAATATGGATAAAAATCCAGAAGTCAACATGTTAACAAAAGAATAAGATCTTTTATTTGAATCCATTAATCATATTCCTGATCGATCAGGAAAAAGAAAATTTCTAAACAAATTCAAAGAAGTTTTAGAAAATAAACCAAAATCATGCTTATTGTTACCAACAAATTTGATCTTAACCTTGTCCTTGAGAAACTAGAGTATAATCCAGCAAAGCCAACAACCATTCAAGATCTTCAAATAAAAATTCATAATCTCAAATAAAAAAAATTTAAAAACAACAATAAATTCACTAAATTATTTTTTCTCAAATTGAGAAAGAAAAAAGATGAATATGTTAATAATAAACAAAATATTAATAATCCTTTATTAACAAAATTTTGGTAATCATGAAATAGATTATTTTTTAGCATTAATTAAAAAATAAAAATTCAAAAATTTTATAAAAACAATATCAAAATCTTATCAATGATTTTGTTTTTAAAGCTGACACTTTTTTTTTATATACGTGTTAATTCGAAATGTGTTTTAAAAAGATTTGGAAAAACCTAAAAATAACTAAGTATAGCAAATGGTTCTAAATTAAAAATCAACTATAAGTTACCTAAAATAATTATAGAGAATCAAGGTTTTAAAGTAGAAACAAATTTTCTAATAGTAAAAAAACCTTAAAAGTGAAGTAATTTTGGATATCCTATTTATTAAAGCTTTATTTCTTTTGCAAATTTTTAAAGAAAGAACAACAGTCGAAAAGTAAATTACTTTCAATTTCTCTACTAAACCTATTATAAAAAATATTAATTTTATCTAGAATAAGATTAATTAAATCAATTTTAAAATAAGAAGTTTCTTTCGAGAATATCCAGTCTTAATTAGAAAAATCACAAATTTAAAAAGAAAAATCAAGATATACTTGAGCATATTACATCATCAATTTGTTTTGATTTGCTACACGGATTTTAGAATAAAAAGAAGAATATAGTGGATCTTCCTTATGATAAGGATTTTACGAAAAAAAAATACAAATTCCTACAGAAGTCAAACCAATTTAGATGAATAGAGAATTACTTCAATTCAATATTGTCAAAAAGAGATTAAGAATCTCTTAAGAGGTAAGAAATTAATTAGAAAGAGGAACACCTAGGGTAGTCATAAATTATAAATCTCACCTATCATATTCCTAATAAGAAGGATTTCATTAATAGATTAAATTTTGTCAAAATATTTTCTAAATTTAATATGAAATCAGGATTTTGACACATCGAGATTAATGAAGTAGATAGATACAAAATTATTTTTATTGTTCCTATTGAGCATTATGAGTGGAATGTAATGCCCTATCGTTTGAAAAATGATTTTTTTTTAAATTTTAAAAAATAATGAATGAAATATTCAATCCTTATTCAAAATTTGTTATTAGCTATATAAATGATATCTTAATTTATTCTCAACCAATCAAGCAGCACATCAAGCATATCAACATGTTATCAATATTGTTAGACAAAATAGTCTAGCAGTAAAAAAAAAAAAATCGATCCTTTTCATATGAAAACTTGTTTTCTTAAACTTATTATTCACCACAGAATAATTATTCTTATTAGAAGATTTATTGAATTTATTAATAAATTTTTAAATCAAATTATTGACAAAATTCAATTACAAAGATTTTTTAGTGTCTCAATTATGTTAGTGATTTTGTCCCAGGTCTTAATAATGTAGTTAAGCTTTTACATGATAGGCTTAAGTAAATCTATTATCATACCAATACTATAAAAGAAATAAAATATAAGGTGAAGATAATTTAATGTCTTTATCTTCTTATTTTTCAATCTTTCAAATAGTTGAAACAAATTCCTCTAATATAGGTTATGGTGACATTTAAAATAAAAAACCAATTTCCAAGAGCATGTCATGCATATATATCAAAACATTTAAATTATGCACAACATAATTATTCTACTGTAAAAAGAAAGTTTTGATAATTGTTTTGTGTGTTTTAAAATTTCAACATGATTTTGCAACACTTCCTTAATCTTAAGTGGCTCAAAAGACAACATTTTGAGTTTCTTTTAATCCTGAAACAACAAGATTATTGACATTGGTACAGTTGCAAGGTACCTATTATCTTGATTTGATTCGAGTTTTTTTTATACAACTGTTTATGTTGATGGTACAACGGGTGATTTGTGTGCTATGGTCAAAGACAAGTTCGTTGAGGTCGCTGATGATGTTTGGCATGACCTTCTTGGATTAGAGAATTGTCACAAGTGAAAATAGTACAAGGGCAATTCAGGAAAAGAACGTGGAGGAAAATAATTTTGTTAGAAAGAATGGATAGGTGTCAAATAATCCTATGATTGTGGGCAACCTAAAAAGTGCAAGAATGAGGATGACCAATTCACGCATGAAAGATTATGTGTGCGGGTAGCAGTTAGTTATATAGTATCTGATTGGGGAAAGGAAAGATATGGGTATTGTTGCATTCTGTCTTTTTTTTTCCTCTCTTGTCTCTGTAGTTACTATCGTTGCATAGTAACCTTCATTTCTCTTATTGTAATAAAACCCGCAATACAATAATACATACAGAGAATTATCCATACTATCCATTTGCCCATTCAATCATTATTTCATTCTGTAATTGATTGTCCCCCGTTACAAGAATAACGGCTTTACCACCAAGAATGGTCTTGATGACCATGAGCTCCAGTTCAATAAAGTAGAAACTTAAAGAAGCTGGATGAAGAACCCAACTGAAAATGTGAAGGGTAGATTTGGCTATGACGTTCTAAAATTGGAAGCTAAACTTTTGGCCTCTGTTATTGCTTGGATTATTACTCCGAGGGGGAGTAACAAAAGATGATTTAATTCTAACTTTTGCAATGCGGAGGAACATATAGGTAAACTGAGTATTTGTAATCAAAGAAAATATGCTCAAGACTAAAAGGTTACATGATTACAAATGTCCCTATGCTGTTTTGATCTCACGGATTCTGGATCTTTTTGGTGTTGATGTTTTTGATGAAACACATGTCTTTGTGAAGACAAAGTATGAACTTAAGGATAGACAAGACAACTCAAACAGATGCACTATGTCAAGAATGATGAAGGAAGCTTGATAGAAAAAGGAATAATATCTCAACAGGCTTAACCTTCTCAACCATCTCAAGAGGTAGAAAGTTCTCATACAAACCTTTGAGCAAATGGTGCTCAATAAACTTGATGAGATGTCTACAAGACAGAAAGAAGATTATGATGAATTGAAGGCTAGTTTTGAAGTTATTTGTGAAAGACTGGATTTGATGGACATTCCAGGTATTGATACTTCGTCACCTACTATTTAGGATAGCAGCAGTTAATCTATCACTTGTCTTTATGTCTTGTTTTATTTATTTTATGTTATGTTTTGTATCTTTATTCTGGCTATTATTGATACTTGAGACTTTGCTCTATTTTGATATTGCTTACTAAGACTTTGATCTGTTTTAATCTACATATTATCTCAGTCAAAATATTATGTTTCTATTACACATTTTATCACTTTTTGGATTTCTATTGCCAAAGGGGAGAGAAAGTATAAAGCTTGTTCCTCTCTAAATATATCACTAACATTTCTTTTAGAATTAAGCATTCATGAACAACAATACAAGTTAAAAAGATTATGCATGTCTGTGGTAGATTAGCTTAAATCTAAATGAATGACCAATAGAATCTTAATCTAAATAAGTAAGAGTGTAAATCCTTTATAATTAATTACAAAGTATTTAGAATTGATTACAAAATTTAGACTAACACTTAGATTTTGTTTAAATAAAACTGATTTGTAAAAATATCAGGTTAATTAATTACACGTGTTTTGTAATTAATTATAACACTATTTTAACAAAACTACGTTTCTCTTATTTAATCAATTACCGGCATCATATACTATTATTCCCTTCTTTATTTTATTTTTTTATTAATTCTGTTTTTTAATTTAATTTATTTTTTGGTTTTTTAGTTTACATTGAATTAGATTGTTGGTCAACATCCTAATATAGATGATGGTCAGGCCTTTAGATAAAAAGTAATGTTAACGATGTATACTATTATTTCTTTCTTTTCCTGCTAAGACAATCGAGTAAAAATATTTAAGAATTAGGCAAAAAATATGAAAATAATTAAAAATTAATATTATTTTGAATTTTTAAATAAATAAATATTTCTTTGAAAAGTAAACAAATTAAAAGGAAGAAACATATGTTTTTGTAAAACAGCGATTCTTTTGTACTCAATAACTTGTTTCAATTTCACACTCAATCCTAGAAATAATTGAGGACAGAAAAAGACATTTAAGTTATTACAAAATTTATGAACCATAACTTTCCGAGAAACTATCAATTAATAGACGAATGCCGTGGCATTTCGCTGGTGAGTGTCTTCTCATAGCAACAAACACACAGAGCTACTAACTAAGCTACACAGACACAAAATCGCTGCCGAGCAACGCCTGGTAGTGGTATCTCCAATTTCTCAATCTTTGTGTTCATATCTTAATTACCATTTCTCGTTTGCAAAAACTAACATTGGTTTGCTTCACGATACTGTTATGATATCACACCACATGTTTGGGAAAACGCTTAAGAGATGGTTTTCTTGAGTTGGGGTCGCCCATCTGCCCAAGACCAAAAGGCTATCATCCACAAGTAAGTAACATAATTTAAGTTGCTTACTAGAAATTGGAACACCCAACCCAGTTGGAAGTGCATTATTTTGTGTGGCTCATTTGTTTTCCCATGTTACCAGGTCAGGTACTTTCAACTATGATGATAAATATAAGGGAGCCACTGCTAAGTCGTTGGCTTCCCTTAAAGAAGACCAGGCACTCTCCAAAGATGGATTTTTACTGAATAACGCGCGAGTTCTGGTTGGTTCTGGTATTGACACTTTTGAAAAGGCCAAGACTGCTCTCAAAACTTGGAGGTATGTTCATGGATCCTGCTACTTCTATAAGCTGTGTATGTATTCTTCCCGGGCAGAATCTAGAACGACTAATTTTAAATTCTTTTATTTTCTATACTTATAAATCCTCCTAATTTATTAAATAGAAAAAAGACTAATTATTTTATTAAATGCGAATATGATTATTAAAAATATTCATAAAAGAATATAATAAACTCATCCAGAAAACAATTGGAGGGAGGGGTAAAGTGCATAAACGTTAGAGTAAAATATTGATTTACTCCTTAAAGAAGAATTGGTATCACTAATCAATTTGGTTGGCAGCCGCACTTAATTTGTTTTTTAATATTACTACCGAAAAATATAATGTTGACTTTTGCAGGTGTTAGTTAATTTAAATACGATGATGCTGTGCATCAATTTACTTGAGCGACAATAAATTTGCTTCTATATAATGTTAGGAACCCAACTAACCTATGATGCTACTTTCAACATCTAAATTGATTGAGGTTGTTAAAGTGAGATACTAAATTTGTCTTTTTATAATATAAAAAATAAATTAATTGATAATACCAACTTTAAACGCCAAACTAATAAATGACATTATTTGAAATATATATATATATATATATATATATATATATATATATATATCCACACACATGTATAATTTTACCAAAAAACACAACCAAGATGGGAGAGCTCAGGGGCCTGCCTGCCCCTCCATCCATCCATAGATTTTATAAAGTGAGCAATAAGGATATACATATAATTAATTTAATTTAATTTATATATTTTCAAGTTAACTTAAATTAGATACACTTTTATTTTCTCACTATAAATATAGACGCACTTAAGTGATTTTTCTCCCCTTCTTCTAAGGTGTGTATATTTACAGTGTTTATATGGTAAAATTCCTTGCAGGCACTTTGGATTGAATTGGGCATTTGTTGATCCAAAAACACCAGTTCAACAAGGAACGAAGTTTTGTGCTTGTGTCAAGGAGTTCTTCCCATGGCTCATGATGCCTCTCCAGGTTGTGTATGTAAATGAAACTAAAATTGCCAAAAACCGTGCTGCCACCTTTGGTTTTGGAAGTGGAACACTTGACGGTCACTTGCTGGTCAGTGGCTACTGCTTTTTCTCCCATCTTGCTGCTTTTCTTATCCTCTTTCTCTTTGTATGTTGGAATCTAATTGAATATTTGAAGGTGTTTTGTGATTTAAGTTCTTTATTTAATACATTTGTATTCTAGTAGAAGCCAATATAAGTTTTCTGTTTGGGAGTTAATGTATGCCTTTTATATTTTGCAGTTACATAATGATATAAAAGAGTTTAATTTTAATTAACTGTTAATATAAAAAATTATATACTGTCATAAAATTTTCTATTGACATGTTATTTAACGAGTATGACTGTGTCAACTACATGATAAGACACTGATCAAATAATAAGGCAATCCATCATTAGATGCAAGTATAATACTTTTTTGCTCTGACACTATCAAAATAAAATTTATATAGGAACACTAAAACATACAAAAACTTATCTATTTCTATATGACTAGATTTATTTATGGATCATTGGATCAGTGTAATGCTACGTCAAGACCTTTTTCTTAAATCCACATGCAATCTAGTAACTCAGCAGTCTGCATAGCATAATATGAGTTTTCCCTCCTTTCCTCCCTTCCCCCACAATATTCACATAGCATTGTCCTGTGAATTTCAAAGTTTAAATAAATAAATGTGAATTATTCTAATTGATTTCTGAGACCTGAAACAATCATTTCAAATTCAGCCGGTTGAGAAAGATTCCTTGTTCAACACTTTTAATGAAGGGTCTTGCTAGCCAATACTCATAGGGCATTGGTTAAGAAATTGAAAGTGGTAAGTAGTTTTTAAAAAACACATTGAACTACCTTGTAAATAACGGAGAGACGTTTATTAATTATATTTTCTACAAAAGCCTTCTACTTTTAATTCCTTAACCAATAATCTTAGGTCCCTAGATAACATTTGTATTTAATGAATGTAAAGTGTCTGCCCATTTTCTTCAGCCTATTGAAGTTAGGAATGATAAGTAATTATAATTATTTGTGCTATAAGGTTATAAGTATAACCCTTTTCCAGACATCTTTTGGATGGAAAAACATTAATGGAATATGATTTTCCATTCATTATAGTAATCCTTGTCAAATATGGTGTTTGTATTATATCATAATCACAAACTTCTTTGTGATCTTCAAGTTTAACTTCACAATTTATGAATGGGTTATAAGCATAACAATCAGTGGTTTTGCTTGTCAACATGCTCGTGATACTATTTGCATTGCTTTCCGTTCATTTTAGAAAATGCTGAATAATAAATTGGGGAATCACATGAGTTCTGGTATAGTTTATAAAGTTACAATTATTGTTCCATGTAACATGTTTCTTTCTGCAGTTTGCAGTATACTTAGTGATGGTATTTTGTAAGAGAAAGTAAAGCATTCTGCCTCCTTTTTCGCACTTCTAAATAGCCATTGTGTTTGTTGTCAACAATAAGTTTTGTCTAACACTTGATTATATTTTATATTGAAGAGCTTTTCTTAGCAATTGTACATGGTGTGGAGAAACTGAAGTAGTTTTAGCATGTGAATCATTCAGGAACTGGAAATGGTTTGAATGAGTTTGTCTTACCCTTGATTAGTACCTTGTATATGAACTTTTAGCAAACAAAGCTACTAAAATTTAAAAAGCTCTGATCAGTTTATATGTGTTATCTTTTTATTGCAACAGGCAGGGGAAGAGCGCTTTTCAATTGAGATTGATGAGAACAATCAAGTTTGGTATGAAATACTTTCTTTCTCAAAGCCTGCCCATATTTTATCATTTGTTGGGTACCCATATGTGATGCTTAGGCAGAAATACTTTGCTAATGAATCTGCCAAGGTTATGCTGGAACACATTAATTCTTCAAAATCCTAATGCAAATGTTTATGTTATTTGTAAGTGTGACTTGAATCTTTATTCTCTTTTGATCCCCCATTTTAAATAAATATTCCTCCAACTTTTCCCTTTTCTAACATTGTTCTCTAAAATCTTCCTCCATTAAACTTTGTCCTTAAGCTGTTTCATTTGCCTTTGGTGGTGGATGGGATGCTGTCTTCCTAGTACCATTTTACCATCCACTTAAGGCTCTTTCTCATCAAACTGTGTTATATGCTGTTTTGCTACCTTGTTATACATGGAAGTTAGATTTTTCTCTGACCATTTTCCAATCCCGAGTCAATGGGTGGGTAAGCAAGTTATATGAGTGTAGCACATTATGAGTTGAAGTGTAATGAGTCACTGATTTCTGCTCTGAATTTAACTTGGCTCGTCAAATAAATCACTTTTGTTTCAAATAATGTTAACAGCTGATTGAATATAAAAATAAACAGTAAGACAATTGGCTAAAAAAGTAAAAGAAATATTTGTTAAACAATTATTTTTTGAGAAAGGCTAACAACACACTTTCTAATACAATCTCAACTTTTGGTTTAAATTTATTAAAAATCAGATAATTATATAAGTATCACTTTTAATTTAATAAAAACCAGTCATAAATTTACAAATTTCAATAAATTTTAATAAAAATGAAGAGTGTGTTAAAAAAATATATTAAAGAGTGAATTACTAGCAATCTTTTTTTATTATTCTCTAGCAATTTTTAATCAAAGCAAACCGAGGAATGTCTATTGTCATACTCGTGTGATTATTGTTACTCCAATTAAGATTTTTTATTTTTATGTAAAATACTTGTACTATTAATATGATTATAAGTGAGAGAAAAAGATATTTTAGTTAAAAATTATTTAATAAAAGTGTTAATAAACACCTAGAATAACAATAGCCACAAACAGAACACACTGGTTTGCTTCAGGGAAACAAAAAAAACGTGGCAGATCTACATCAGAAGCAATCTGAAAGATTAAAGATATGCAACCTGCATTTTGAGAATTACACTTTTTCATGTGTTTGAAAACAAATTTTACCCTGTAAACGGTTATTATCATTGTGGATAATAATGCTATATTTTAACGATAAGCTATAGAATCAACTGTTACAATTGCGGATTGGCACTAGACAGGAAAAAAAAAATGCAGATTGGGTGATTATCCTTGTGGATAATTACTATACAAAACTTTGTGTTTTTAATTTGCTCCAATACAAATAAATAAATAAATTTATAAATGAGTTTTTGAATGAAAACATATTTTTTGAAATACTCCTAGTTATTACTTTTTGTTATAATATTATTATTTTATATGTGCACATTTTTTCATTTAAGCTCAAGAAAATGTATTATGTATGAGGTAATAAAAAAAGTGTTATGTATAAATTCTAAAATGAAATTTATTATCAAAATAAGTGGAAAAGGGTTACAGAGAATCATGATAGCCTACAAAGGGTGATTTAAAGACTTTAAACAATATCATTATAACTTAACGTAATTATAAAAATTATTATGAGAAGATAATTTTTAAGAATTGAATTAAAAGATTGTAGTTGTGCTCGATATGGATTAAAAAGAGAGAATGTAATTGATTTTTAAGTATTAAAGTATTTTTTTTTTTATTTGACAAAGTAGTAGAAGCTTTTTTTATAAAGTATTGTTCATTATCTTATAGGCCAGAATTCATAGGTAAATTTGCTTAGACTTCTATATAGAATTATTCTGAATTGCTTGCTTTTATGAACTCTAATTTCTGAGTTAAAACTCCAATTAAAACTATGGAACAATACCAAAAACATATAAAGTGCTTTATATAAGTTCTATCTTTAAACAGTTTGTTAAAATTACTTTATGTAATTTTTACCTAACTCTAAAACATCATATTCTCATAACAATCTCTATAACTATATTAAAAACTATATTAAACTACAGTGAAATTATTCAAATTTAATAAATTTCCTTTGAAGTATGTTATAGATCAATGTAATCATTCTCAAATTGTTTAAATGGTAAGATATATATATATATAACACTTTTTTTTTTTTTGTTATTTCTATGTTAACACATTTATCAAAGGTAAAAATTATATATTTGATCTTCTAACCTTTTTTTCTTTTGTTTTCTAATTTATAATAATTAAATTTAATCCTCTAACTTTTCAACACAAATCAAATAAATCATTTTCTATTTCCTATATTAACTTTACTATTTTTTATTTTCACTTTTGCTAACAATGTTTATCATCTTCATCATTTTTCTACTTCCTCCCCTTATTTCTTTTTTCTTCTTCTTCCTTGTACAGTGCCACATTCACATACAAAATCTAACTCACACTTTAATAAGAATTTGGTGTGTAAATGTACCAAGTACTTGAAGCTCAAACTTGACTTTTGAAAGAAAAAATATTTTAGCTCAATTCATTTATTTAAATGGGATGGATTTGAAGCTTAAGCTTCAATTGATTAAAAATTTTGAAACTTGAAATTGACTTATTTGCATATTTATAACTTTTTTACATGTTTTGAATAATTTTTTATTAATTTAGTATTTAATAAATATTTTTATTCTAAAAAGTAAATGACGTAAAATATAATTTTATCTCCACGAAGATAGTTTAAAGTTAAAAATAATTCTTTTAATAAAAATAATATATTTATTTTAAAAAAAATTGATTGTGTTTAAAATACTATTCTTAAAAATTAAAGTTAGAAAAAAAATAATAATATAACTTTCAAGTAAATATAATAAATAAAATTATAATTATTGAAGTATAGATATATGTGTGTCATTCATGAATTATTAATGTAAAGCTTAAGTTAGACTCATTTAAATAATTGAACTCAACTTTAAGATTGAGTACGTTTATTTAACTAAAAACAAATTTAACTGAATATTAAATGAGCTGAATTCAAATAATTACAAGTAGTTCATTTGGAAACCTAAGCATCTTTTACTCTATCTGCATCTCGCTAGCATGATACACATACACATCCACTCAACAAAACAAAATTCTCATCTATAAATACTGTCACGTGCACATGCATACATAAGGGTATCAAAATAGGTCAACCTGCCTGCCAAAAGTCCATAAAAAAACGGGATAGCCCATCTCGGTACGTTTAAGGGTGGGCTAGCGCGCTAACAAGTAAGTCCACCAAAAACCAAAAAATAAAAAATAAATAAAAGGATTAATGGGTCAGTCCATCTAAAATTAACATAACAATATAAAAAATATAAAAATTTATAAAAAAATATTTAAAAGATATTTTTATATTAATAAAAATTAATATTTAATTAATAATAATCATGTTTGAATTTCTAAAAATTAAAAATATGTTTATTGGATTAGCCCGTCAATAACTCACATTTTAACAAATTAAAACGAGATAGGCTAGGCGGGTCGACAAGTACAAAGCATTCAACATGACCTATTTTTTTTAGCAAACTACACTGGTCAGTCCATTAAGATCAGTCTGCTTTAACACCCCTAGATGCACACATATTTTCATTTTCTCAAGAGCACTCACATGTATAACCACACATGTACACTTGTACTATTACATCTGTAACACTGATAAGTCTGTAATTAGTTCCTCTTTTACAACTCATATATTGATGTTTGACATTTATTTTATTTAGATTTTATACTGATTTATCTGTATATTGTGCACTGTAGAATAATAAGTCCACAACTAGGTTTAAGACATGTTTTGGGCCCAAATTGATTGCAAAATAGAGCTTTGCAGTAGTAAATAAGCCAAGACCCTATCATCAAGCACGTGAGTGCTTCGAGCCTATGCACAGCCATGCTTTTGGCCTTGCATGATCGTGCTAATTTGCGGTAAGCCCAATTAATGAAGAACTTTAGGATTTCTAAACCCTATTAAAGAGAGACCTCAGACATCTTGTTATACATCTTGTCTTTTGCTCTTCGATACACCTTTCAATTTGTCTCTTTTGCATGAGATTGTTAGCATACTCTTGGTGAAACTTGGAACTTTGAGTGACTGTACTTAAAGACCGAGAAATCATCTTTTTCTAGTTTGTTTTTCTTTATGGCTTTGTTTTCAATTGTCTTAGTTCTTCTCTTTAGCATAAGTAATTAAGTCCATTGCTAGGGTTATGAGAACTGTTGTTCATACATTTATAGGATTTTGAAGTTTGAATCTATATTTGATTGTTGTTCATGATTAGCTTTTATCATATTGTGCATAATTATAATCTTAATTAATTATATCGTCAGGTAACCGTACCTCGATTAGTTATTAATTATTATATATGCAAACTATTAATTTTGGACAATATTATTTTGGAGCATGAAAATAGGAAATACTAAACTTTAGGATATGTGATTTTCATTAACACTGAGAAAGTGTGATCTCTAGCAATGTATTTGTAGTTTAGTTTTAGTGTATTTTAACTATATGATTGGTTTGAGACTAAAGGTGTCTAATTTTTAGATTGTATTGATTTATATGATGATGTGTTTCTTGTCTTATATACATATAATTAAATGAGAATTCTAGTTGTTTGTGTAAGATTAACAAAGAGTGTTTGACTGTTCTTGAATGGTAAAATATTATTTTATTATGTATATGTAAATTAGACTAAGTGTGGATATGTGTGACCTTAGACACATTTATATTTAACTAAATGATGAGAAAGAGATGAAGGAAATATATTATTAGTGAAAATTGATGAAAGGAATTGATATGAATATTTGAAAAGTAATGAGAAAATGTTGTGTCATGAAAAACTAACTAAAATATGTATGGATAATTACAAAGATACACTATAAGTATAAATTATGGAACCGATTGTAAAAATATTGGAGAAATATAGGTGGTGAATGCCATTTGCTTGTGTGTGTACAATCTATTGAGCGCAGATGCATCACATGGTCTCACACTCATTTTCTAACTATACTTTTGCTAAAATGGGCCTTATATTGTATACGTTATATAAGTGTATGTGGACTAACCATCGATTATCTATACCGATGGAAGATCTCAAGGAATCTTAGAGGCAATGAATATAGAATTGTGATATTTGTGTTATAACACAATTAGGGATGAAAACAGGTTAGGTCAGGCTAGACTTTACTCTAAACAGGCCTGATCTGTAACATAATTATTAGGCCTGAGCCTGACCTGTTACCTGTTAAATGTTTTATTTTAGGCCTGACCTGATCTGTTTAAGTGGCCTGGCCTAGCCTGAAGTCTGTTAACAAAGTCTGTTACAAAAAAAAAATATAAATATTTTATTATCAAATTATTTTATATATTTTTTTAATATCTATCTATGTTATTAATAATTATATAATATTTATATAATTTTTAAAATATTATTTAAGTATTAATTATAAATATATTATATTAATAAAATTTATATTTATATTTTTCTTAATTTATTTTTTAAAAATTATATAAATAGCAAATATTTTAGTTTTATTTTAGAAACATATTTTATTTGTTTAAAGACATCTTATATTCAACAAATAAAGTTATAGTAAACACATAAAATTGATAAAAAAAAATAACATTCACACAATTTTTTGAATCAATTAAAAGAAAATTATTATGTTTTAAAAAATAAATAAATTTAAACATAATGCAATATATATATATATATATATATATATAATGACAATAATAATAATTATTAAATTAAAAAAATAATTACAAAATATTTAATTTTATTTGTTTCATTAATTTGTTATTTTAAATTAACAAATGAACATAAAATTAACTATATTATAACATTAATGTAATATTAAAAATATTACTCATACAATAAATTAAAACATATACTTATATATTACATATAAATTGATAAATTAACTAATAATTTAATTAAAAAATTACAAAAATATATATTATTATATAATATATTTATAATTATATTATTTATATTATTTGCTACATGGTTTGATTATATATATATATATATATATATATATATATATATATTATAATAATTTTTTAATTTTATTTTCTTATCATTTTTTATAAATTTTTTTTTCAAATAAAATATAATATATATTTATGTAATTTCTATTTATTATAAATATAAAAAATTATAACATAATATATTAATATAATAATTAAATATTAATAATAATAAAATTAAAAA